AAGAGGGAGAGCTCGCTTTGCTTGGCTGCCTCAATTACAAGGGAGAAATACAAAGCACCTTTAATACCAACGAAGTGTTATCCAAGGTATGAGCTTTTGTGTGCCTTGATACAGTGTGTGTGTTTTGTTGGGCTCGTTATGCCAGGGCTCTCCTGGGTGCAACTGGGTTCCCTCCCCTTTTCACTGTATTCGTGCCCTCATGATCCAGTGTTTCTCAGTAGGAAAGCAATGTGAACTATTTTAGATGAGGAATAACAACAAGCCAATGAGGTGGATTAGGCTGAGAGGGTGTGTCCAGACCAAGTTTCCCCAGCACATTACCTTTGGGGATTTTGAACTCAGACTTCCCAGATAGTAGACTGATACTGACCACTGAGGAAGACTATAGTTTTGTAGACAAACACACAGCCCTCATTCTGTGTCGTGGTGCCTTCTCATGTTCTTGAACAGCACACGAAGCAATTTATGTACACAAGCTTGCAATGCCCAGCCATTTCATGTTTTCCCCTGGGTCCTAGGCTCAGAACTCTGAGCATGAGATTTCTGTAACAAATGTCAATAAATCAAAAGTAGGTTTTCAGCTTACAGATACACACTTGAACAGCATACTCAAGATTGCTACAGCACAGACATTTTTATGCAATTCAGAGCAAGAAGTGTCAGTTATCAGAGACTGTTAAATAAACAAAATATTGCAAGAGTGCTAATGTTTCAAGCATGTTTTTATTTTAAGTATAAAAAATCTGTGTTTGTGTCCTTTATAAAGTTTGTATCTCTGCTACCTGGCATTACATTTTATGACACACATGGCTTGGCCCGAAAAAGTCCAATTTATGTCAAATCCGGCCCTCCATAACAAATGATTTCAACACACCTGTGCTAGCCAGTCCTGGTCTGGATTCAGACCGCCATTAACTCTGGCTCCTGCATTTCCTGTCACATGACTTCTTGCTACACAGTTGCACCTCACTGGGTCCCAGGTCTAGGTGAGAATTTTTCTGGTGGCATGCTAGTGGTGTTGCACACATAATGGCCTATTTTAGGCCCAGTTTAAAACTGAAGCTGGTCGGCAAGAAGACCTTACCGGTGCAACTTTCATACACCCAGCATCTTGTTTAAACTGGGCTTCTGTGTGAGCAACATTAGCTCGCCAATGCAACACCTGCCCTATGGATATCTGGCAATATTCAGAAGCACTTTTATTGCACTTGTTCTGACGCTCAGCAGAGGCACTCAAAACTAGTTAACATATTTTTTATGATACCGGAAGAAAAGTGTACAAAGATAGAGCCTGGGACTGTAGATACCTAACCAATTGTTATCCCTATTAACCGGTATTAGGACTCCACCAGGCAGCTGTTCAGAGACATGTCTGTTTTGCACACTAAATTCCTGTCTTACCTAAAAAATCCCAGTAGGCTAGCCAAGCCACCATGTTATGGTAATTAACAAAAACAAATTGCAATTAACAGACCTATTAAAGTCCACTTCATCAGAGCTCCATCGCTTTTTTGCATCTGATAAAGTGGGCCACAGCTCACAGGAGCTGATGCTTGGACAAGTTTTTTGTTCCAGCTTGACCCTTTGTGTGTGTGTTTTCCCAAGATTTTTATCTGTACTTGGTAGAAACTCACAATTTATGCCCTCTCCACCATGGGAATGCTAGTGGAGCCTTTACCCTTGGAGTTTCCCCCCCTGTCATGCAGCTGAAGAATCCTTTCCAAGAACAACACCAAACATTTAATTTGGAATTTAGCCATCAGATAGATTTCCCCCCCTCAAATCTAGTAGTGATCTGGGAGAACCAGGTTTGATTTGCCACTCCTCCACTTGCACCTACTGGATGACCTTGGGCAAGCCATAGTTCTGGCACAGCTGTTCTCGAAAAAGAGCAGTTTCCGTCAGAACCCTCTCAGCCTGTCTGTTGTGGGGAGGAGAAGGGAAAGGTAGTAAGCCACTCTGAGACTCCTTTGGGTAGCGAAGGGCAGGGTATAAATCCAATCTCTTCTCCTTCTTCTCTAAACAGTATATTTTATGGAAGCACAGTGGTTTTTTTAAAGGTGCTAATAAATATAATGTAGTGCCTATTTCCAACAACAAAGCCCCACCCTCCCTCTGTAGTTTCTGAGGGTCCACTCTCTCTGGCTGACTGGGGCAGGCTAGTCACAAGGATCAGGACTTGGGAGAGACCTGCCCTCAAAGGGTGCTGGTAGTCAGGGAGTACCCGCAGAAACATGCAAAAAGCCCTGCCAAAGTGTTTCAAATACACTTTTTGGGGCTCCAATACTGGGGAGAGTGCTACTGAACTCAACATTAAAGGTAAAGGTTCCCTTGCTCGAAAGCCAGTCGAATCCGACGCTAGGGTTGCGGTGCTCATCTCCGTTTCAAAGCCGAAGAGCCAGCGCTGTCCGAAGACGTTTCCGTGGTCATGTGGCCGGCATGACTAAACACCAAGGCGCACGGAACGCTGTTACCTTCCCACCGAAGCGGTACCTATTTATCTACTTGCAATTTCTTGCTTTCGAACTGCTAGGTTGGCAGGAGGAACTCAGCAGTACTTACTTCCAAACAAACATATCTAGGATTGGGTTGCTTATATAGCAAAACAAGAAAATTGAGGCTTCACCTCTGGATAACTGGAAGCAGCACTAAGGCCCGTGATAGCACTATCATGTATGATATATTTAGATACAAATTCAGGAACAACTACTCTTAGGCTTTCTAATCACAGAAACCGAATCTCTTCTCCCTTTTCACCTAACAAAAGGGGGGAGTCTGTGTGGTTTTAGGCACGCCAGGCACAAACTCACAGGTAACCCATTCTCTCTCTCGGAACTGCAGGGAGGGAGATCTCTTTACCTGTGGCATTTCTGCCTGCCGCCCCGTTGGAAGAAGCCTTTCCAGGCGCAACAAAGCGGCAACTCTCGAGCCTTCAGGGTCCCATGAACGGAGCCCTTTAGGCCCTCTTTTCACCTGACAAATACGGGGGAGGGAGGGGGAAAGACATGTCGGCCGCTTTCCCGGCTGGCTTTCACTCTCAGAAGCGGTCACGTCCCCGTCCCTCCCTTCTGCCAGGCACTTCCTCGGCCTCCTGACTGGAAGCGGAGGAGGCGGAGGCACCGGCAGCCACTTCCCGCTCCAGGAGGCGAGGCGGGACTAGCTGCGGCCGCCGCGGCTAAGAAGTCGGGCCTGGCGCGGCGGCGGCGGGGACGAGGCGATAGCCGCCGCCGCCATGGCCCTGTGGTGGTCCCGCTGCTGCTGTTCCTGCGCTGCGCGGCTCGGCGGCCCTTGGCCGAAGGACCTGGCCGCCCGCCTGAGGCACCCGGGGGCGGGGCCGGCGGCGGTAAGTGCGCCGCGTGAGGCGGGCCCGGGCCAGGGCGAATGGAGGTCACGCGGGAATGAATGGAGGAGGAAGCAGGGCGCTCCCGCCCCGGGCGGGGAAGGGCCGAGAATGGTGGCCTCGCTGAGCTGCGGGGGAGAATTTGGGGTAGAAGAGCGAAGATCTGGGGGTGGGCCTAGAAAGAGTGGGGGGAGCCGATGGTCGTGTGGCTGTAGTTCCTGACGGAATCAGAGGTGGGCCCGGATATAGAAAAGGGCATGCAAAGGAATAAAGGAAGTGGTGCATGCAAAGGAATAAACTAGAATATTATTCAGGTATTGTTGAGTAAGCCATATGGAACAGCGCCAGGCATGTGGTGGCCGTCTAAAGTTTAAATCAGGAAGAAGAGAAACCCGTTACGTTTTATTCCCGCTCCGCGCCTCCTTCAAGGACATGGGTCTCCTCCGTTGTCCCTAGTTATCCTCGTCCCGGCCTTGTGAGGTGGGCCAGGCGGAGAGCGCCTGTTCCAAAGTCACTGGTTCTTGACTGCAGTCTGCAGTTTCCTCCTTTATTGTGATTTATTACAAAAGTATGGTGTTTCCATTTATTATTTCCGGCATTGGGTCACAAGAGCACACGAAGCTGCCTTATACTGAACTTGGTCCATCGAAGCCAGTATTGCCTCCCCAGACTAGCAGTGGCTCTCCAGGGTCTCAGGTGGACCCTTTCACATCAACTACTGCTTGACTGGTTTAACTGGATTGAACCTGCATGCCGAGCACATGCTCTACCACCAAGGCAGAGACCCATATATTAGGAAGAGCAATGGGTTTATAGGTTTATTTAAATTAAACCCACAGAAACCTCTCTAACCCAGGTGTTATGTGTTCCGATGTTTTGTAAAAATCTGGGAGGAGTCCTGTGAGTTACTCCATGTTCCTGATACCTATTGATTCGTATTGCAGCGCCCACTGACAAGTTCCCATGAAACGTACAAGTGCAGTAGAAGCTTACAGGAGATGTAACAATAGGCAGGAAGTGAAATATTAAGGACAAAAAGGCAGAAACTTATGTTGGAGACTATGCCATGGTGCTATTGGTATTTTTCTGCCCCCAGTGCATCCTCACAGTGTGAGATTTTTCAAGGCCTGTGGGCAGCCCATTATATTGGGTAACTGTTCCATAGCATTGTGTGGGGCACATTTGCTGGATGAAGTTGCTTGCAGACACTGCATGTTGCAGAGCATTCTGGTGAAATGTCTGAGAGTCCCATGTTGCCACAATTTCTTGGATGAGTGTCATCTTCTCCATCTGAGGAGGTGGGAATTTCTTGCAGCTATTCCTCCTATAGCCTGCTCTCTGGACTAGCTTTCCAAGGAGAGACTGGCCATTTAGGGATCTGGTAAGTGTGTCTCTGAGAGAGGTAATGCTGGGGTTGCTGAAGGAGTTGTGTGGGGTGAATCTGAGGCCAAACTTCTCAGGAGGAGTTTCTCCAAGGGCATATCTCTACTTAAGAGAAAGTCACTGAGAAACCCCTGGTTCCAGGGCTGTTTCACTTAATTGTTAAAATATGGCTTCATTCCTCTGGTTACACAAGAACTTGCTCTCCTTTCCTTGTGCCCGTACTTTCCTGAAGAAGGGTTCTGTGCAACCTCAAAGCTTGTGCAACATACTTCCACTTAGTCTGGTAAAGGGAAACGCCCTACAAGTTTAGTATTGTTTGAGCCAGAAAAGAATTGCAAAAGTTCCTTGCCTGGCATGAATAAACGTGGTGGAAGTTCTTGAATAACAGAGTGATTTAAAGAAATAAAATGAACACTTTCTTCTTTTTGATTTTATCAAGGCTTGTGAATACCTAATCACTGGTGGTGAGTTATAATTGCTGCCGGGCAGGGAAGCTTCATTAAATTTGTAGAATGTCTTGTTCCCCCGTTGCTGTTCCAGGTGTTCACTGTGTCACAGCATAGGTATGTCGCCTTAATTGTAAAGCTGGGTTTTGTAGACTTATGTACAAAGCTAGTTCTGTAAAATGGGAGCATAGTTCAGTGCTAGAACATCAGCTTTGTATGTCACAGGTTCCCAATTCAATTTCTGGCATTTCCAGTTAAAGCACCGATTTTGGACAGGGGCCATACAGCTCCCAAGGGGTAATCTTACAAAGCTAAAGGGACATTGAACTTTTTTGGGGGGGGTAAATGGGGAGCATTCACTTTTTAACAATCCTTTTTCTCCACTGCAATGGCTTCTGGGAGTCAGCAGAAGGGAGTTGTTTTATAAAAGGTAAAGGTTTCCCTTGCTCAAAAGCTAGTTGAATCCGACTCTAGGGGCAGTGTTCATCTCCGTTTCCAAGCCGAAGAGCCAGTGCTGTCCGAAGACGTTTCTGTGGTCACGTGGCCAGTATGACTAAATGTTGAGGTGCATGGAACGCTGTTACCTTCCCACTGAAGCGGTACCTATTTTATCTGCTTGTAATTTCTTGCTTTCGAACTGCTAGTTTGGCAGGAGCTGGGGCCAGAGATGGGAGCTCACTGCATCACATGGCACTAGGGTCTTGAACTGCCGAACTACAGACCTTCCAGTCTGCAGCTCAGCATCTTGACCTCCCTAAAATAAGAGTACAATCAGCACCAGGAGAACCTCAGGAGGAAGGGCATTCCATAGACGAGGTGCCAGCATTGAAAAAGCCCTGTCCCTGATTCACCTCTGCAGCTGGAGGCACAGGGAGCAGAGCTTGAGCAGAGTATTTTAACTGGCAGGCTGGACAGTAGTACAGGAGGAGGTGAGCCTTATATGTCTTTGTATAACTAGTCACTCTTTCTCTCTCTTTTTTTAACTGCATGCAGATGTCCGATTTTCCCGGGGGAAGTTTGGGTCTATCATTTCCAAAACTCAATAGTATATTTTGGCGGTAAGTTGTAAATTCTTTATTACACCATAAAAATCAGAGTGAGTTTCTGTTGGCCTGGCTCAGTATTTTTAGAAGTCTACCTATTATGGATACAGATTTGAGCCATAGCACAAATCACAAATTTGGGGCACTAATTTGGGGTCTTACAGGACCTAGTAGTTGAATATTTGTCTTTTGCATATGTAATGCCATACATTGGGCATAATTGATTTGGAGAGTCTATTGTACATTGTATTGAAATGAAATAATGCACAAGAGCCATATTACATTTACAGTATGGATATAATACTTTCAGACTGTGCAACTATGTATATTGCACTCCTTGGTGGTTATGAATGTTTAGTAGAGTACAGTTAGTTTATTGTACTGAGGTTATTAAAGCAACGGAGTAAGTATCTTCTCTGTACTGCATGCCAAACTACATATTATCAAAGGGTACAGAGCTGCTGTCCCATCTTTCTTTTTGGTAACATTTAATGTAGACATGTACAATAATGCCATCATGCTTTGCATCTCCCTGCTTCCACCTCATGTTTTTGGAGGAATTGGGGGAGGCAGTGCAGGGAGGTAACATCTTGTAAAACCTTGCAAGAATGCAACATGATGGTGGCTCCGTGTCCCTTACAAGGTGACAGTCCTCACTTCAGTTCCTGTAATAAAACAATGGTGCAGTAACCATGCCATCCTAAGCAGTGTCATCCTTCTAAGCCTCTTGAAGTCCACTGACTTTAGAAAATACGGCTTTGCTTAAGATGGCTCTGTAACATAAGGAGCATCTTGCCTCCAAACACGACTATGTAATATAGTTCCTTCTTGTGCTCCTCTTCTCTCTTATTTGTTTCTGGTCAGTTATTAGATGAGGAGCAAAAGAGAATGAACATGGAGTCTAGTGCTGGAATTCCTCATTTATTTCATTGTATAAAAATCCCACCTTGTTCAAAATTCCATGGATGGAATTTTTGCTGATTTCCCCCACTTCCTACAGTAGACCTTTGGCTCATCTTTTGTGCTTTTCCAGGGAGGGCGGGGATTCCTGGAATTTGGACAGGTATTTGGAGCAGGAGGAGACAAGGTGAGAAAGTCACATTTCAGACAGAAATCCCTTTTGTCCATAGAAATTCTCCACTGGATCCAACCCTATTATTCAATTAGGAATGGCCAAAAAGATTAAATACAGGTTTATATTTTAAAATGTATATGTATTAAAATACAAAGTATCTGCTTCTCTAAGTGGATACAGTGACTGCTTTCTGAGTGTTTCTCCATTCAAAGAAGAATTTAGAGGAAGAAAACTTTAGGATCCAGTTGTAGGATCCAATCCAAGGAAGAGTAACAAGTTACTGATGCTTGAAAAGTTTTTTTCTCAGAATATAATATCTGAGTTTGCCTTCTGAGTGAAGATATTATCATGATTATAATCTTCTTTGAGTCACTTAGAAAGAAGAAAGTGTTCTAAATACATTTTCTAAGATAAAAGCACTTCACAATTTTATATGCTTTATGACGGTTTCTCAGTGAGTTTCAGTGTCTACATTCTTTCAAACAGTATTGTTGCCAGGTTTCATCATACAACGGCGCAAACACACAGCTGTGGTAAAATGGTTAGTGATGAAAAATATAAGGACCCTTTTAAACTTGGAAGGAAAGACTTGAAAAATCTCTATGAAGATATTAAAAAGGTGAGCTGGCTGTGATGAATGAACAAATGAATGCTTTGAAAGAGACTAACATTTAATCATCCTATACATTTATCATGCAGCTTTGTAAGTACGTTTTTGTTTGTTTACAGGAATTATGGGTGTCAACTACAGAACTGAAGGAAATGTGTGAATATTACTTCGATGGGAAGGGGAAGGCCTTTCGACCTGTGATTGTGGTGCTAATGGCTCGGGCATGCAATTTTCATCATAACAAATCTGAGTAAGTCCCAAAGCCTGGTTATTTTTGAAGGTCTTAAAATATCAGGCACAGTTTCCTTGCCTTAAAAAAAACAAATTACTTGCCACGTCCTGTAAACTGAAGCCAAGTGTTTCTGTGCTTGACCTTAAATCTTCTGAGCTAGGTGTCTTGTTAGCAATGGTCGTTTCCAGTCAAACCTTGGGGAGCAGGCATTCATTTCTATGGGTTGTTGCCTTGTCTGGCGGCATGTGATCACCATCGAAGCTGCGAGGACCCTGGGAATGTGGTGGTCAGAAAGGGGAAGCTGTTCCCGATTGCAGTCCTTTGTGGACGGATAGATCTGTGAATAAACGGAAGTGCTCAGTCCAAAGCAGCTGTGCGCTTTCCTGGGGACTGACCCAGCTGATGCATCTGTGTGCTGTTCTGCTTCCAAGGATGAGGATCTCAGAGGCACTCCTGCATTAGGGAAAACGAGCCAGCAGGTGTTTCTGCACTGCATCCAACTCTGACCAGCAGAACTTGTAGCAGTTGCTTGCTGTTGACCTTCAGGCAACCAGAGATTTTACACTCCAACTTGCAGATTTTAAAATTGTGCTGAACAGCGGCCTGGACCAGGTTGAGCTGTGAGCTATGACCTGGCTATGCAGGTAGGCTTTGTAGAATTCCTTCCTACTGGGAGGGGTTATGTATGCCACGTAAAATAGAATTTGTGGGATTCATGATGTCAGCTCTACCTTTGTAAAATCAGCTGACCTTAAAAAGCAGGTCAGTCAACAGCTAAGGTATGAAAAGCCTGTTATTCCTGTTAAATGTAAACTGGTTTTTTACATGATAAAGAGGGCAAATAAAACGTTGGCTTTATAACATACTAGCATCATGTCTTGCTTATAAACCTTTTATTCTCCCAAAGTAGTCTTGATAGGTTTGGAAATGATCGTTCTTAAACCTGCTTGTTTGGACAACAACAAAGGAAGCGAACTTAATTCTTCTCCTTCTTGTTTTGCATTCTCAGAGCAGATTTGTGCTTTATAATTTGCTAGCATTCCTGGGACAAATAGCAATTACCCCTAGTGAGCAGCCTAACAATTTTTTCTTAAGTGACCATTTTAGGCTTGTGCAGGTTCTCTTCCTGTGTCATTACTTACTGTGTGTATCACTTGTGTAAGTGCTATGGGGTGTTGCCATTTCTCTGCACTCAACGGAGAGGAAGGCTTTGCGTTCCCTTATCTTCAGGGCCTTCATTCAGTGCCTGTTTTGCACAATGAATGAGAAAATTGCAGAGAACTGTCACTGACTGTAATTTGTGCCTGGGTTATTTTATTGCTATGAGGATGATATAGTTATCTTATTCCATCCACTGAGCAAATAAGCATTTGAAACGAAATCCCAAACAGTGAGATCTAATTGAACTGATACATTGAACGTATGCAGGATTCAAGGTGGAGTAAAGTCCAGGTGGGGTAAAGCGTGATCTGTAAAAAGGGGCAAGGTAAGTGGGAAATGCTGCTTGGAGTGGGGGAGGGCTACTGACAAAGGTGGCAGCCCCATTGGGAAATAAGTCATTGGGCCTGTGATTCTGCTGCACAGAACCGTATTGCACTCTTGGTTGTATAAACATTTTGCTTTGCAGTTCTATGGGATCAATTAACTTGCCGTCCCTTGTACTTTGATTGCAGAGGAGTCTGTAGGTTTTGCTAATGAGCTTTCATAGTGGAATGCAGAGCAGTTTGTTCCCAACAGTGGTCAGCCAGCTTCCCCGGGGAGGTTCATTGTAAAGGCTGGCGGTAAGAGCCATCTGTTGTTTGCTCCTGTCCGCTGTTAATGAGAGGTGGTATATTGCACCCCACTGCAGTGCCTGTCTCTCATGGTTCATATTTCACAGTGAATTAGTAGATGATGGCTTTGGTTAATCTTTCTAAAAGCTGTTTTGTTCTAGCAACAATCTCAGCATCTCATGAGAGAAAATTCCATTGGTTGCTCTCTACCAGCTGTTCCTCAGTTTGTTGGATAAACTGAAGTTCTAAGTAAGAGAGAGTAATCTTTCTCTTGTGGGCTTGTGTGTCTATACTCCCCCTCCCCCATGTCTACTCTGGGAGGTGACCCACATGAGAAATAGTGCTGAATGTTTACATTGCCTTTGGTGGTTGTAAGAGCAGAGTACTCCATATTACTGGTAAGGAATGTTAAGACTGAGTTTGGAAGAATAAGTTGAGCATAGAGCCACTCAACCCCAAAATATGTGTTGCCATCGTGCCAGTAACTATTGCAGGTTCGGTATCCTTCTAGTGCTGACAAAGGTGGTATCTTGAATATTTCTGTCTTGCTTAGCTACTGCTTTCCTCCCCCACCCCATTTTAGGGAAATGCAGGCAAGTCAGCGTTCCATAGCGGCCATTGCAGAGATGATCCACACAGCTACTCTAGTTCATGATGATGTCATTGATGATGCAAACTCACGAAGAGGAAAATTGACTGTTAACCAAATCTGGGGGGAAAGAAAGGTGAGTGTGTCAGTAATTGTATGAATTTCTCCTACAGTTTTTTGGAGAGGAGGGGGGAGATGCTTAAATAAGAGTCTGCTAATATCTCGAAAAGTATAAATCAGTGTGGATGATACAGCAAGCTAGAATGCAGAGAGCAGGTTTTGTCTTTTAAAGATCTGTAAAATAGATATGAGTTTAGATGAATGTGTGCGTTCTGTGCAACTGCAACCATACTGAACTAAGTTGGCTATACTTAGCCAAAACTGGAGCACAGTCCAGCCAAATAAAAACCCTGTTATCCTATTGAATAGCCATGGCTTAGTTATGGTGCTCATGCCTTGCATGAGAAGGCCCTGGTTCACTCCCTTGTATCTCCAGATCAAAATGTTTCTCTGCCAGTCCAAGTAGATGAACTAATGGTTTAAGTCTGCATAAGGCTGCTTCTTCACGCATCCAGAATTAAGCACCTCAGATTCATGTTGATTACGATTGGAGATGTAAACTTGAATTTAAATATCTCCCATGGACATTGTGATGAGACTTCAAACATGCTTGATTTTGGCTGGATTGTAGCCACACAAAATACACATTCTACCATCCTTTGGAACAAGCAAGGCAGAAGTTTTATAGTAAGTAATATTTTGAAACATAATCATAGGCATCAAAATGTGTACATGTCAGGTCTTTGGTCCTGTATATCCATGTTTCAACCTATGAGCTGTTAAATGGGAAATCATGATTATGGCCTGGATCCTGTCAAAAATATCTGCTTGTGTAAGGGGGAGGGCACAGTTTTCACCAGTTCTCTCCCCCCCCCCAAACAGCTTTCCAGTTCTCCTGCTGCTTCTGGGAGCTCACCATTCTCCTGAAGCAGTCTTTCAGGGGGTATTTTGGGCTGCAGTGAGGAGGAGGAGGTGGGGAAATCATCCTTCCATGCACAGAATTTAGAAGAGAGATTGGCTTTATACCCCACCCTTCACTCGGAGTCTCAGAGCAGTTTACAATCTCCTTTCCCTTCCCCTCCCTACAAGACACCCTGTGAGGTAGGTGGGGCTGAGAGAGCTCTCTCAAGGACTGCTCTTGAGAGAACAGCTGAGAGAACTTGTAACTGTCCAAGGGTCACACCAGCAGCTGCATGTCCAGAAGTGGGAAATCAAACCTGGTTCTCCCAGATTAAAGTGTGCACTCTTAACCACTACACCAACTGGCTCTCCAGCCCCGTGTTCAGCAGTCTTCACCCCAACCACCCTGTATACCTGCCCTGGACACCTCAATCTTTTTATGTTGGAATAAGTAGCCTGCAGTACCATTCCATAACAGAGTTGCAGCCTTCTAAGCTCATTGAAAGCAATGGATTTGGAAAGATGTAAATCTGCTTAAGGGTGACATTGCTAGTCACCTAGTGTGTGGAACCCAGCTCATTAAAAAGCAATCTCTGCCTCCGTGCTTTTGAGAGCTAGAATTGGGCAGATTCTCTACTGTGATATTGAATGCAAAGATGCTAGGCAGGCCTGGGGGCAGAGCAAGAGTGATGGTGAGCATGAAAGGCAGAATTCTGACCCCCGTACCACATGTATCATATCACTACTCATGTTAAGAGCCACGTGTGAACAGTTTTTAATCTCCTTGAGTGTGGTTTCTGTAATACGTTTTTCATGTTTCCGTGAAAAAGCTTTTATTCCTGCATGAGAATTTTTTGTGTTTTAAAATATTAAACACACTGCCCAGTGAACAGGCTAGAAACTGTTATCTATGCTCTCTTAAAGGGGGGAAAAAACTGTAGGTAGTCTGCTTTTCAGAATGCTTCTAAAAGTCTCGCGTTTGGGGAATGCTAAGGAAGCATATTTTTGCAGCTTTCTCATGAACACAAGTAAGGTCAAGATTGTATCCTGCCAGTACTGTCCTGGAAAATGGAACCTCTGAATTAGGCTTGGAGAGGAGGCTTAGCTAAGACTTCAATAATAATTAGAAGTTATCAGTTCCTTGCTCTCAGGGTAATATGATAACCTGGGGAAACGTTCTTACCTTTTCTCTCTGCTTCTTGGAGCACTATCTCCCCTTTCCTTATCTCATGAAAGATGACCCTTTACAGAGAAGAGAAAACTAAACAAACCAACCCCTCTTTTCTCTAGAATGCAGCTACCCTGAAATACATGCACAGATGTTCCTCACCTCTTTTAAATGGCAGTTTGTTACGATATCACCCACCTATCCGGCCAGTGCACACAGCTGATACAGATATCTGTCCAGCCTCATTTAGCTGAATGGATACACCCATTAGGGCAGTGCATTTCATGCATCCAGGGACACTAGCTACATGCTGCTACAGATGGACCAGGGACATTGTGTGTTAACACAGTAAACTCCTCTTGGCTGAACTGAAAGGAGCTGCCTCAATTCCATCCTTGAACATACATAAACAAAATGAACACTGAATAAATCTTTTACAAGGAGCCTCTAAAAGCTGCTCTTCCAGCATGTGGCAGTTAAACTGGCTAACTTTTATCCTGCTGGCAAATGTACTCCGTCATCCAAGGGATCCATAGACTGACCATACACATGTACAAAGAGAACGCATTAAATTAAAGCTCTGAAATAAATGTTGGGTTTCCCCCCTCTGTATTAATGAGGGGGAGGAAATAAGTTAGATGTCATATCTAATGCAGTAAAAAAAATAGAAATGCTAAAAGGTGTATCTTTCTCTTCCAGGCAGTCCTAGCAGGTGATTTCATCCTTTCTGCAGCATCTCTAGCTTTAGCACGTGTTGGAAACACAACCATTGTTTCTGTGCTAACGCAGGTGATTGAGGATCTGGTGCGTGGTAAGGCTTTTTAACAACATAGCTAGATTCAGTTGATGCCTTTGTCTAGACAACCAGGTAACTGACACTGTTGGCATTTACATATTTTTAATAGGTGAATTTCTTCAGCTGGGTTCCAAAGAAAACGAAACAGAGAGATTTGCTCACTACCTCGAAAAAACATTCAAGAAGACTGCAAGTCTTATAGCAAACAGCTGTAAAGCAGTATGTACGTTCCGTCTCTCCTGTTGTTAATATACTGTGACGCAGGGGAGGGAAAACTGAAATTAAGACTGTACTGCCCCCCCCCCCCCCCCAGTTCTTCTATTAGTTTCTGGGACAAAAGGGATCATATTATTTGCTTCCTGTTCCTGAGATTATGGCCCTAAAAATCTGCAGGCCCCTCCAATCTGTTGCTCTGCTCAGAAGGCCCATAATTATCTCCCCTTTTTTACATCTCAGTGTTTAAAAGATGCTCACTTGTGTGTTCCTGCTTGAATTGCAGTATGTATTTTCAGTGGACTTCCATGTCCCATCTATTAGAATGGGATGAAGGGATGTCCTCCTTAAAATGGAGGAATGGAGAATGTTGTAAGCTGCTTTGAGTCCCCATGAGCTATCTCTCCTTATATATAATTGAATAGTGGGTGCCAAAGTTCTAATTCTAAAATGCACTCCCTTAGTGTATGGCTGATGGCACTGCTCCTCAGCATATATCGCCACCAATCAGAAGGCAAAGCCCGGGTCCCGCCCACACCACAACTGCTGCGACAACCTGGTCTTTTGCATATGGAAGCTGATTGGACTTCAGTCCATTCCACACCTCAAACTCCCCCCCCCCGCAAGGCAGTTGGGATTTTCAGTTGCATAACATACCTCATAGGGGAGAGGAGAATGGGTAACAATGGTTACCACTCTCCAGGTGAGGGCTACAGATAACTCAAACATACAAATGCTCTTCAGGTAGCAGAGATCAGTCCCTCTGGAGAAAACAGTGGACTCTGTCATTAAACCCTGCTGAGGTCGCCACAGGAAACTGACACTGTTTGCCCAAAGCCAGAGCACTCTCCCAGAGCCTCTTTCTAGATCCCGTTGTATTTATTTCCGCAACGGGCATTATTTCTAGTAGATGAATAAAGAATATCTACACTTCCCCACACAATCTGTTTTGTAGAAAACTCTTAGATACAAAATGATAGACTTGAAATCGTCCCCAAGGTGTTCTTGGACATATCCTTAAACATGAATGTGATGTAGTATGTTTCGCGTGTGTCACTCATACAACTTGCTTATAAAAGGCGACTTTAAAAAAATGGGTGGTGATTGTGAAACTGGTCCTTTTGAAAACTCTGGTATGAGCAGAGATGACTGGGCAGTTTCCCAACATATGTATAAAATGTGGTCACAAGACTAGTTCAGCAGAAACTCGCAAAGAGTCATTTTGTGACATAATCTTAAGTGTATGGAAATGGATGTATGTTGGTTGTGTTCACATGGAACCACCCCCAGTTCAGCACTGTGATTCTCTGTTTGCATTGTTTTGAGAAAGATGGATACTCTGTATGAGGAAGAGAGTGAACATCATTCCACTAAACATGGTGGTATGATTGCTGAGACCCGAGCTGTAATTTGGTTCTTCATACCTCTAGTCTGCTTCTCCCTTGTGTGGTGAGTGACAGAAGGGGTGAGGGGGACTACAAAGATGGAGGTCCTGTACCTGAGATGTGGGGGTCTGGGATCGGGGATCCAGCTCCCGATGCTTGGTGGGGCATCACTGACCCCAACGCCAAGTGCGAGGAGTCTGGGAGTGATCCTGGATGCCTCCCTTTCAGTGGAGGCCCAGCTCACTGCCATTTTGCCAGGTTTGCCTTTTAGCATCTTTGGCAGGTCAGGTAACTGGCTCCCTATCTCTCTTCCCGTGGCTACAGTGTTCCATGCAATGGTCACTTCCAGGTTGGGTTACTGTAACTCGCTCTATGCGGGGCTGCCCTTGAACCTGACCCAGAAACTGCAGCTGGTGCAGAATGCAGCAGCACACTTGCTGACAGCGACACCCATGCGGGTGTGCGTTCAGCCAGTGCTTTGCCAATTGCACTGGCTGCCAAAACAGTACCGGTTCCAATTCAAGGTCATGGTATTGACCTTCAAAGCCTTATGTAGACTGGGGCCGGCATACCTACGGGACCTTCTGTCCCCTTATGTACGCTGGAGAGCCTTGCACTCTGCTGAGCAACATCTAGTGGTGGTCCTTGGCCCAAAAGACGTTCGCTTAGCCCCGACTAGGGCCAAGGCTTTTTCTGCCCTGGGCACCAGCCTGCTGGAATGCAGTCCATCTTGGCCTCGCCTGCCCACAGAGTTGCCCACAGAACTATTTTGAGATCATCAGTCTGATCATCCTGCAGGAAGTTTTAAATGGACTGCCCTGAAAATGTTTTTTACCTGGTTTTGCCATCCTGCCATTATATGATTGCTTGGATGTTTTTAATTTTTTAATCTGCTTATTATATTTATTGTTATCCAATTCTATTGTGAGCTGCCCTGAGCCCATTTTGGGATAGGGCGGGATATAAACCAAATAAAATAAAATCATAAATAAAATAAAATTATAAAAATACTACAAACAGAACAAGGTAGCTAGCAAATGCATTTGCTAATCAGAAAAGGGGGATTTCCAGACCCTGGCGGTGCTTCCAGAATAGAAGCAAGTGAAGGATCCCTGAGTTTGGGTACAGTTTGGTGTAGTGGTTAAGTGTGCGGACTCTAATCTGGGAGAACCGGGTTTGATTCCCCACTCCTCCACTTGCACCTGCTGATGTGACCTTGGGTCAGTCACAAGCTCTGGCACAGCTGTCCTTGAGAAAGAGCAGTTTGTGTCACAGTTCTCTCAGCCCCACCCACCTCACAGGGTATCTGTTGTGGGGAGGGGAAGGGAAAGGAGTTTGTAAGCCGCTCGGAGACTCCAAGTGAAGGGCGGGGTATAAATCCAATCTCCTCTTCTTCTTCTTCTACAGTAGGTTAGCATAGCATCTGTCTTGAGTTTATCATATATGTGCCACAACCAGTCCAGTAGACGTTAATTTTTTGCTGTGTTGCTGTTTGACAACTAGTGTGTAGCTCTAATGCTGCATCTCCTTGTCCCCAGCCTGTCTTTACAATGTGATGTGTAGCCACGATGAATATTTCATATATCCAATCTATATTCAGAATTTAAATATATATTTAATGTGGCAGTTCTTTTGGGCACTGTTTTCTAACAGAGCTAGTTTTGTACGTGCCTGGATAAATAAGTGAGGACAAAGAGAGGTGTTGTGAATGCGCTGCTCAAATGAACGATGGATACTAACAAAGGGACTGTGTTTCTCTTTCAGGTGTCCATTCTGGGCTGCCCTGATCCCAAAGTTCATGAGATTGCATACCAATATGGAAAAAATGTCGGCATAGCATTTCAGGTATAGTGATGAATACCATGTAGTGAAATACACTAAAGCAAATTAGTTTCTTGAATACAGTGGATGTTAGTTAGATATTGTGTATGTTATTGTAACAACACTTGGGTTTCCTTTTTTCTTTTCAGTTAATAGACGATGTGCTAGATTTTACAGCATGCTCCAGTCAGCTAGGGAAGCCAGCCTCAGCAGACCTTAAGCTTGGAATAGCCACCGGTCCCGTCTTATTTGCTTGTCAGCAGGTAGGATTAACAAAAATGCTCCCTTTCTCTATCACCCTGAAAAAATAAACACTGATGGTTAATAGTGCTGTACTGAAATTTAAAGAGTGGTCTTTGGCTGATGTCAGCAATTTCTGCAGGAAAAGTGTGTTCCTCTTGCAATTCCAATCGTTTTGCACTGTTTGATATTTCGGATACTTCTTTTGGCAGGGGTTCTAATTTTTTGTGATCCTAGTCCTGTTGCATTATTTGTGGATGTCCCACAGTATTTGATTGCTTGGATCTACTTGATGTTTATGTGGATGGAAAGATTCTCATCTATAAGGGTGACTTTCTCGTCTTCCCTTCCACTGCACCCCAAAATGCTAATTTTGGAAAATCCCATCTCTGAGGAGTAGCATTTCTGGGGGCATTTTGGGTTGCAGCATGGGTGGGGAAGCAAGAAAGTCCCAGTGGCACACGGAAATCCTTCCATCAAACACATGGCTAGTGGATCCAAGCAATTATTTTTGATGGAACAAAAGCTGTAAATTAGGGAGGGCAGTGGATAATTTCTCACTGCCTTTTGTATTCTGCTAAACTCTTGTTTCTTAGAGAGATTACTTAATTTTGTCTCCTTCACTTAGTTTCCAGAAATCAATGCTATGATAATGAGGCGATTTAGTTTGCCTGGAGATGTTGAACGTGCACACGAATATGTTTTCCAGGTAAGGCTAATACAAAATAAAATACCAACTCCCACTTTTGTATGGTTCAGCTAAATAATGATATCCAATTATTGTAATACTTGGCTAAAACGACTCCCTCTGACTGTAGAATTTCTAGCCCTCTACTGACTCCAAAAGGGCATCCCTGCACACTTTTTTCAGCTATGGATTTGATTCTAGCCTTTGCTCTTGTAGACATTGGTTTTATCAAGTCTTAATGCTGAATGTTTCTTGAAATGTGTGTGTTTTTGCAAAGATTTGAAAACCGAACTTTTTGGAACTTCAGCATGCCCATTTACAAGCACTTGTACTTCCCTGTACCCTGACTCCCTTTCCCACTGCTGGCCCATGCTACTGTGGTGGTGGTGGTGGTCTCATGTTCCCTAGGAGCAGCATGGAAGTCTCACGTGAAGCTGCCTCAGACCACTGGTCCATCAAAGTCAGTATTGTCTACTCAGACAGGCAGTAGCTTTCCAGGTCTCAGGCAGAGGTCTTTGACATCACCTATGGCCTTGTGCTTTTAACTGGAGGTGTTGGGGATTGAACCTGGGACCTTCTGCATGCCAAGCAGATGCTCTACCACTGAGCCATAGCCCCTCCCATCAATGGATATTCTCTGCAGGATCCAACCCTTTAAGGATGCCTAATGTTTTATTGTTCACAGAAACTTGTTTTTGCTAATTTAAATATGTAAGTTCAGCTGTCTAGGACTTCATCTTCAGTGTTTCATTTCTCAACACAGACAGCACTTTGAATGAAATACCACATATGTAAAACAGCAAATGTAAGCTGGAGCTTATTAAAACATTATCACGGTGTATATTCATATATGGTTCAGAAATGTTAAACCATAGTTGTAAACTCTGAAATTGAGCACTAAGTTTCTCTGTGCCTTTTCTTCTAGAGTGATGGTCTACAGCAGACTACCTACCTCGCCCAACGCTATTGCCATAAGGCGATACAAGAGATCAGCAAACTCCGGCCGTCCCCAGAAAGAGATGCCCTCATACAGCTGGCGGAAATGGTCCTTTCACGAGACAAATGACCCACCCCTCCTTCCACTCGTTCTGGCAGCTATTTACCAGACTGTGCCTAAAACTACACTTCAAAACATCTTAGCTTGCTCCCAATGCAGTTACAATTTTTTTAATTACCTTTCACTTTCCCCCTAAAATATGAAGAATTTATATTGAAGGAAGCCACATAAAATGATGAAATACCAGTCTATGAAACTGATGCGAATGCCTCACGGCTACTTTTTGATGTGGGATTCTTGTCTTGTGTAGGCAACTGTTTACATTGTTCACTGTCAACATCCAAGGCCATAATGAGAATAAATACAATCAATGTGTTGAAAATCACTTTTACAAACCTCTGGTGTGTTGACTCTTTGTCACTATAACAAAATAGGTTGACAATTATCTTAATTGTCTATTAGAATGTCAGAGTACCCAAAATATTAAAGGAGAATGGTTTATTATAAAAGACTGTACATAAATTTTGTAATTAAACAGGTTATATATACAAATTAAAAGAAGCTGTTCCAATTTATAAATGAAATACAGATAGGTTTTTACTAGTTGCTAATGATTTCAGAAAATTACAAATGAACAAATACGAAAAAGCAAGAAAGCATTTAATAAAATTAGGTTCATTTAAGGTAAGAAGGCAAGGGAATGTTTCAGTATTTAATGTCACTAGAAAATGAGTGATAACTGTAACCAATCACATGTCCAATGTACCTGATTTCTCACCATGTAAGTGTTTAATACCCAGAAGGCCAGTGCTTAAGTTCCAAAATAAATCTTCACTACATACAGTAATCCCTCACTAAATTGTTCTGCCTTAGATAATCTATGTAATACAAGTTTTATACAAACTGAGACTGGACATGTCATCTGACCTTGTGCTCAATGGGGAAGGGAATGTGTCAAAGTGCATGCGTTGTCTTTCTAACAATAAGAGAAGAATAGGTCTGTGTGTTTCCCTGTAGGAGTGGGTGGGGGCCTTCCCATAGGAGCATTCTCTCTCATGTAAGACTGGCCTCACTTTAGGCTGCCCACAGAGTCTGTATTCATGGATGGTTGTGTGAGTATGCTTTTGAAATACAGTGCTGTGGACAATCAGTAGCAAGTTTATTTTTCAGACAGGCAATTTTTTTA